AAATACCTACTTTCCCTAAGGTAAATAGTACCTTATTGCAGTAAGAAGCATAGAATTTAACTCCATGTGTTAGGCCACATAAATTTACATTCCTCTTCTCAGTTTTAAATTTAAAATTTAAACAGGGGTACAGGAATTTGTTTACCTCTCTAGAATGAGGAATCATGTCTCTACTGATGTTTCACTGTGTTCTGAGTAAAACAACAGGGATTGCTTTTAGAACCCCCTAAGCAAGAAGCCCTGCGAATCCAGTATGAGGGACATGATTTGCTGTAGGGAGTCTGTCACTATTAATCAATACATCCTGCCTCGGTTGTCTACTGTTTGACATACTGTTCTGTGGAAAGGTTCAATTAAAACGCAAGTCACTACTTGTTAACCTTAACACATTTAAATACGTTTCCAAATATATAATTGGGTATTTTCTCTCATGGTACCCTAATAATTGTATTGCAGTTTTGTATGGGATATTTCTAAGTCATGCTTTTTGCTAGTGCTGGAGTGCATTTTTTCAGAAAATAGGAAAACAGGACAGATGAAATAGAAGGAAAAGGTTTGTATTAAAAATGAAATTGTCGTAACTGACTCAATGTTTTGTATAACTTGCAAAAAAATTTGATCTCATGCCTTTATGCTATTAGGAAAATGTGAAGGAAGTCTATTCTATATTTACAAAAATCATTTTATGTCTTGTTTGTTAGAAATTAGTTTTATCTATGCATCGTAGAAGGGCCAAAGTCCAACTGGAACTTAATCTGGCTACTGCCATAAAAGACAATAAAAAATGCTTCTAGAAATACATTAGCAACAAAGGGAGGGCTAAGGAAAATCTCCATCCTTTATTGGATGGGGGGAAACATAGTGACAAAGGATGAGGAAAAGGCTGAGGTACTTAATGCCTCCTTTGCCTCAGTCTTTAATAGTCAGACCAGTTGTTTTCCAGGTACCCAGCCCCCTGTGCTGGAAGACAAGACAGGAACAGGGACCAGAATGAAACCCCCTTAATCCAAGGGGAAATGGTTAGTGACCTGCTACACCACTTAGACACATACAAGTCTATGGGGCCAGATGGGGTCCACCCAAGGGTGCTGAGGGAGCTGGTGGAAGTGCTCACCAAGCCACTCTCCATCATTTATCAGCAGTCCTGGCTAACCAGGGAGGTCCCAGTTGACTGGAGGTTAGCAAATGTGACGCCTGTCTACAAGAAGGGGCGGAAGGAGGATCTGGGGAACTACAGGCCTGTTAGTCTGAGTCTGACCTTGGTGCCAGGGAAGGTTATGGAGCAGATCATCTTGAGTGCCACCACGCAGCATGTGCAGGACAACCAGGTCATCAGGCCCAGTCAGCATGGGTTTCTGAAAGGCAGGTCCTGCTTGACTAACCTGATCTCCTTCTATGACAAGGTGACCCACTTAGTGGGTGAGGGAAAGGCTGTGGATTTTGTCTACCTAGGCGTTAGTGAAGCCTTTGACACCATTTCTTACAGCGTTCTCCTGGAGAAACTGGCTGTGCATGGCCTGCACAGGCACAGCCTTTGCTGGGTGAAACGCTGGCTGGACCCAAAGAGTTGTGGTGAATGGAGTTCAATCCAGTTGGTGGCCGGCCACAAGTGATGTTCCCCAGGGCTCAGTATTGAGGTCACTCCTGTTTAATATCTTTATTAATGATCTGGGCAAAGGGATCAAGTGCACCCTCAGTAAGTTTGCAGATGACACCAAGTTGTGCAGGAGTGTTGATCTGCTTGAGGATAGAAAGGCTCTATAGAGGGATCTGGACAGGCTGGATCAATGCACTGGGGCCAATTGTATGAGATTCAACAAGGCTCAGGGCTGGGTCCTGCCCTTGGGTCACAACAACCCCATGTAATGCTACAGGCTTGGGGAAGAGTGGCTGGAAAGCTGCCCAGCAGAACAGGACCTGGGGCTATTGGTGGAATATGAGCCAGCAATGTGCCCAAGTGGTCAAGAGGGCCAATAGCATCCTGGCTTGTATCAGGAATAGTGTGGCCAGCAGGAGTAGGGAAGTAATCATCTCCCTGTACTTGGCACTGGTGAGGCCATAGCTCAAATACTGTGTTCAGTTTTGGGCCCCTCACTATAAGAAGGGCATTGAGGCACTGGAGCATGTTCAGAGAAGGGCAGTGAAGCTGGTGAGGGCTCTCAAGTCTTACGAGAAGTGGCTGAGGGAACTGGGGTTGTTTAGTCTGGAGAAAAGGAGGCTGAGGGGAGACCTTATTACTCTCTATGACTATCTCAAAAGAGGTTGTAGAGAGGTGGATGTCAGTGCCTTCTCCCAAGTAACAAGCAATAGGACGACAGGAAACGGCCTCAGGTTGCACCAGGGGAGGTTTAGGTTGGATATTAGGAAAACTTCCTTCACCGAAAGGGTTGTCAGGCATTGAACCAGGCTGCCCAGGGAAGTGGTTGAGTCCTCATCCCTGGAGGGTTTTAAAAAGACGGGTAGACAAGTTGCTTAGGGACATGGTTTAGTTGTGGACTTGGCAATGCTAGGTTAACAATTGGACTTGATGAGGGGGAATGGTTTGAAGCTGTGCCAGGGCAGGTTTAGGCTAGACATTAGGAAAAACTTCTTCACCGAAAGGGTTGTCAGGCTCTGGAATGGGCTGCCCAAGGAGGTGGTAGAGTCCTCATCCCTGGAGGTATTTAAAAGAAGGATAGATGAGGTGCTTAGGGACATGGTTTAGTGGTGGGATGGCAGGGTTAGGTTAAAGGTTGGACTCGATGATCTCAAAGGTCTTTTCCAACCAAAGTGATTCTATGATTCTATGATCTTAATGGTATTTTTCAACCTAGATGATTCTGTGATCTCATGCTTATCTGTGCTGTTCTAGCTAAGTAACCAAATACATTTTCTAATAAGGGAAATAAATTTTAAGCAACTGTAAAGGAGAACCCATGTTTTTGTAGTATGCTTATTCTAGATGAGACTGTTTCACCCTTAATCAAAAGCTTACTAAAATACAGGCTTTCAAGAATGCCTGCAAACTGTCCATTTAAAAGTAAGAATCACTTAAGGGGTTCAAGGTGGAAAGCTGAAGAAATGAAACATTAAGAACAAGTATACAAAAGACAAAGTGCAGCTCTTAACTTTGTCAGAATAGCATACGTAATGCCTGTGCTGTTTATTATTCACTTTCTTGGGGAGGAAGGGACCGAGATTGAAAGCAATCTGAAAATAAGGAAATTTCAGATGCTTAGTAGTGCTTCTGTATTTTTTTAATAATTATTAATTAATTTTATGATTAATTAATTTTGTATGCAGTAGAAAGAGTAAATTTGAGATGGGCAAGTTTCTACTTGATACTGAATTTGAGAGTTCAGTTCTGCTGCTTTTTGATATTCAACCAAAGTAAAGCTTTCAAAGAAGTGAGATAAACCATCTCCCACCCCCAAACAGTCCCCTAATAATTTTAAGTTTCTTTTATTAAATTTCTTAAATTTTTCTTGAATTTCTTCCTTGTCTTAAAATTGTGTGCATTGCTATCTTAAGAAATGGTCATGACATACTAATGTCACTGCTGCAGTCACCAACATTAAACGTGTTTGCCTGAGATTAAGCGAACAAGTATTTTTTTCAGTGTTATCTCAGGTTTTTGTACAGAAAGGGAAGAAGCTCTTTTCCACTTATGGTTTGGGAGGTGGCCATGACAGGGCTCATTAATGAAATACCAGGACATCAGAAATCTTGGTAACTTCTATTTTTTCTCTCAGGAATAGTAGAAAATGGGCCTCACAAATTCAGATTTTAACAAAGTAACTTCTTGTCTTGAGGGATGTATTTTGGTGCTGAATTACAGACTTTCTTTTAGTTTAATTAAACAATTTAACTGCTCAAGGGTTTGGGTTTTTTTCCTTTTCTTCAGCTACAACCTAGCCAAAAGATCCTTCCTGATAACATGAATTCCTACCAACTTACCCTTAAATTTCTAACTGGGTTACAGTTTTCCTAAAATATCACTAGGACATAAAAATAGCAGAGTAGGCTAGTTGGTCCAGCATCTTGGTTTCAGCAATTACTTTTATTACATCTTTGAAACAAAGAAACTTAATGTGGATGGTTTTGAAAATATTTTCTCAGAGGAGACATTTTTTTAGTCTCCAAACTTGAAAGGTAGGACTTGGATCCTTTTGAACCCCATATTTTCATTGTGGATATTTATGCCCTTAAAATCTTTCAAAAGAGCAAAAGCTAGCTTAGGAAAACCTTTCTTCAGTTTCATACATTGACCCAGAGAAGAGTGTGTACCTCATTTATCTCAGTCCCTGGAGGGTCTGTGATCTGGATTCTGATGCCCAGAATGTGAGGGAGAGAGAACTTTGTAAATCCTTTAGTCACTTCCTACCTTCCTTCTGAGGAAATGCAGCAAAAAGCAGACAGTCATGGTCTCTGCACTTGAGTATGCCAGTAAATTTCCCATATAGAAATTACTGCTGAATGCAGTAACAGATTCAGAACGTTTAAATAAATCATTCTTAAATCCTATAGGATACTTCTTTATGGCATCTTGGGACAAAAAACTCATATTCTTCCATAGTTTATTCTACATTAAATATGTCTCTCTTTGGAGGACTCTGGTTGTTGAGCAGTGCATTAATTCAAATCCCTTGAGATAAATTTCAGAGGGATTCAGAAATGAGTAGGTATCAAACAGGCTTTAAGTAAGGAAATTTGCAAGAAGAGAAGGGATGCTTGATCCTAAGTGAGTGAGTCTCCCAACTAAATAAAATGCTCAGATTTTAGCAGTTTTCATTGTTGCCTAGGGTTAGCGTGAGCAATGCTTTTGCTCTGTAGTGACTGAACAAAGGAATGGTGAATTTGGAATGGTCATCATCTGTAGTACCCATAATAAAATCAAATAAATACCTGGGAAGAGAAGCAAGACTGACTGCACACCAAAAACTGTTGTGTGGTATTATTAGGGTTTTTTTAAATAGAAATTAGTAACTTAATTATAGCAGCTCTTCTGTTGCTGTTCTTTACAGTGGTTGTGTGGCTTTAAATGCAAGCTGTGTTAGGTTGAAGATAGAATTGGAGAGTACTGTGTAAATATTCCTTTTCTTTGAGTGCATGCAGTAGGTTTTGATACTGTTAGCTTGTAATTTATATTACAGTAGTGTTGCGAGACTACAGTCCCTTCGTGTTGCATACTGAATTCTTAGGGGTTTAATGAGAGAGTTTATGATCTAGAGGAGATGGAGAGCACCTCCAACAAAAAATACAGGGCAAAACATAATCTTCTAGTAAATCTATAGACCTAAGAATTACAGTGTCAAAAATTCTGGAAAGTGTGTCATTCTACAGTACTGTCAGCTGGTCTGAGAACAGAGTAAACAGGGCTTTTATTAAACCACTGGTTTTCATATGCAAGTTCAGTTGTATTCATACCAGTAGGAAACACTAATTTTTATATAAACTTTGGCAATTATCAGTTCTGATCATATAATAATAATAATAAAATAATACTGTCTTCTGTTTTCTCCTTACTGAAAGGAGTTCGAAAATACAGAAGTAAAATGAAAAGGAGGGCAGGAACAAATGTTAGCATTTCGGATTGCAAGCTAAAGTGTAGGTCAGTAAGGAAGAACACAGAGCAGCTGTAATTACTTTTTGAGGAGATTCCAAAGTTCTATTACTAATTTTTAGTCCAGGGTCATTATAGAGTGTGTTAAAAGTAGTACATAATTATGGCTCAGTCTTTCTTCCTTAACCGTCTGCAGCTTAGATGGAAGTCACATAAGTATTTTGATATTTAAAGTTGGAAACCCCACATTTCTTTGACACAGGTCATACTGAGAAGCATTTGTACATGATTGCTTGAGGGACTAATGGAGTTGTGTGGGAGAACCTAAAAGCTTGGGTGTTTTGACCTGAATAGTATTTAGTATCGCTGATCTGCATGTCGAGTAGAGAACTCAGTTTGACTTCCATTGGTGAAGAATAGGGTTTACAAAAAACATTAATGAGAGAGGGTAGAATGTGGCATTGGAATTTCTGCATTTTCAAAGTGGAACTCTATTTCAAATAATTTCTTTTTTCCAGAGCGTACCAAAGATGAGAAACAAGATAAATAACATGCTTAGGTAAATGCTCCCAGTCCAAGTAATTAAAGTATTATTTATTAAACTACTGAGATTACAGAGCATTTTAATAAATATTAAACAGCGTGAAATTTCTGTGCGCTACAGGGTTGATGTGGTGTGTGTCCTAGTAAAAACTACAAAAATGGAAATATTTCTAATTACTATTAAGTGGAAATTATAAGCAGAAATTTCAAAGGATTAAGATTGGGTATTGTTATGGATAGACAAAAGTAAGCATAGGCCTCTGTTGTGACAAGTGTAAACGACTGTATTGTAAACCACCAGAAAGCAGTGGGGAGAAGGAAGCTGAAGGTAGCTTAGTTGTGCTCCTCAGAAGTAGTAATTTTTCCACTTACGTGTTATTTAAACGCTGCTTTCAGGTAAATCAGTAAGATGTTAAGAGGAAAATAATCTAAAACCCGAGAGGCTAGCTCTTAGTGCTTAGTGTCTTCACTGCTTTTGGAACCGTTCCCACTAATTTCTTGCATGTATGTCATGTGGTTAGAGTAAAACCTAAGTAATTACAAGCACTGATCCAGACTTGTGGAGAATATGGAAGGGTGGTCTTTAGCTAAAGAGAAAATGACAGGCCAGGAGGCCCTGGGTACAAACTGCTGAAACAAAGGAGGCTTTGCCTGAATGTAAGGAAGCACTTCACTGTGAGGGTGACGGAGCGCTGGTGCTGGCTGCTCAGAGAGGCTGTGGAGTGTCTAACCTTTGAAGATACTCAGAAGCTGTCTGGATGTGGTCCAGGGAAACTGGCTGTAGGTGGCCCTGCTTGAGCAGTGGGGTTGGACAAGATGACTCCCAGAGGTCCCTTCCAACCTCAGCCATTCTGTGAAATAAAAACAGCTTTGTGCACCAGCAGCTTGGGGGATTTGTTGCATTTATCATCTGGGGAGAAGTCACAGTCTTTGAAGAATGTTAAACTTGGACAAAGGTATGTATTTGTGACCTCAATAATGCAAAAGTATCCCTCTCCAGAAAAATAAGATCTGAAATTCAGTAGGGACAAATTTAAGTTGAGAGATAAATGTTGTGTTGAAGAATTTAAATAGTATATCTAGCCAAGAATGAAAACAGTTATGTAGGCTACTTGACAAGTTGATCTTTTTCAGCATAACATTTCCCAAAGCAGTTTGTTATCCTTTGGCATCACAGTGCCACAATATTTATACAGTGATGTTACTTGCTTCCATGAAGGAATGTTTTGGGGTGGGGGGGAGATGACTCCCAGAGGTCCCTTCCAACCTCAGCCATTCTGTGAAATAAAAACAGCTTTGTGCACCAGCAGCTTGGGGGATTTGTTGCATTTATCATCTGGGGAGAAGTCACAGTCTTTGAAGAATGTTAAACTTGGACAAAGGTATGTATTTGTGACCTCAATAATGCAAAAGTATCCCTCTCCAGAAAAATAAGATCTGAAATTCAGTAGGGACAAATTTAAGTTGAGAGATAAATGTTGTGTTGAAGAATTTAAATAGTATATCTAGCCAAGAATGAAAACAGTTATGTAGGCTACTTGACAAGTTGATCTTTTTCAGCATAACATTTCCCAAAGCAGTTTGTTATCCTTTGGCATCACAGTGACAAAATATTTGTACAGTGATGTTACTTGCTTCCATGAAGGAATGTTTTGGGGTGGGGGGTGGGGTTTTTCCCCCCCTCAAGCTTTGAATTGTCAAAAGAGAACTCTTTCCAAAACCAAAGAGTAATGTAAAGCGCTTCAGTTTTCCAAGCATCCATAGTTCTAGTCTAAGTAGGGAAAAGCTATATTTATAATAACCATTTCAGAAATGTCACCTCTTAATAGAAATGAGGATGTAAATTTTTAGGACTCTTTGTTTCTAGAGTGAAAACGTGAGCATTACAATTGGGCTGTAATGTAGCTTCTTCAAAATTTGTCCTCATTATTGTAAAGGATACTTGCCCAATTTGTTTCACTGGGCTTATGCAATTCCATTTTTTCTTGTCCATGCTTGCTCATACCATGTTTCGTGATGCTAAGAGCCAGATGGGCTTTATAAAAAAAAAAAAAAGTTGCAGTTCAGTAGCAGAAGCAAGTTGCTGTAATGCTGGCTTCTATGACCTCTGCTTCGGCTGTAAATCTTGAGAGCTTGACAAGAAGTGAGCAGCGACAGAAGGCTGAGGGACAGAAGGCTGGCTGATGGGCTCGGCCACTGGTCTTAGGGCTGCCTCGGAGCTGTTCTGGGTCAGGTCAGAGCAGCTTGAGGCGATCTAGTATGTGCTGCCAGTTTGAATTCAGAAGAATGAATGCCGCAGGTCTCAAAAGTCTTGGGCAATGTTAAAATGCTGATTGCTGTGCAGTCCCATTAGAAGTGTCTCTGGTAGATGCACTGTCAGTGGTAGCTTCCCCAACTTGATTCACTGGACTGAAAATTAGAAGCACAGTGCTCACTGAATAGAGCATAGAGGAGTTTCCTGTTGGTCGTATATATGCTTTGGTGGATACTGTAACACAATTGTACAGATTGGCGTGCTGGCCTACCCTACTGAACTGTTGCAGTCATGCCTGAAAAAGGTGTGTATCTTCTAACTGGGAGGGTAGGAGAAAAACTCTAGCTACCAGAGCTATGCATTTCAAGGAGAACTGTTGTGCCTAAGGAAACCCAAATCTTAGCTACTGCTGCTGAGCCAATTTTTACTACAGTTTTCACCAAAAAGTGTTTTCGTCAATGAGAAAATTCAACCTCATGAACCAACTTTCATCATACATGACAGGAAAGATCTTCTGTTTCCTGCAAAAGAAAAAGTCTGAGAGGAATAGGTACAAACAGTCTGCCCTACTAGAAGGCTCTGATAATAATACCTTTCTGTGATTTGCTCCAGTTCTGCTTGCTTTATCTCTGGGACTGGTTTTTTTCAACCGTATCAGTACCTAGTAGATTAGATATCTGAGGTTTCCTTTATGGAAGAACGAGAGCATTGGGGAAGTGTACCTCCTTTTGTGGCATCTAGGAATGTGTTCAGAAAATGTTTTCATTGGGTCTGACCTAGGCTGAAGTTCAAATATGTGTGCCAAAAAAATTAGCACGAAACTCCTGAAATGAGATCGTAGCTCTTGATTATTTTTTTTGCCAGGGGTTGGGGACTAATACAAGATTACACTTCAAGTTGAGAGCAAGTGTTTGCATAATGTATATTCTACAGGAGGAACAAAATCTCTTTATGCTGGAGCGTGAAGTGTTTCTTAATTACAGCCTTATTTCATTCTTCTAAGCTTCGTAAGAACTCGGATTCCTTCCAACTGACTCATTGATTTGAACTCTTCCATGCATCATCTTACCATTTAAAGGCCTTTACTTGGTAGCAGTCATCTCTGTATACTAAGGGATGTATTACTGTAACAGTCTCTCATCTAATAGATGTCTCCTCAGTTGCAAAATAACACATTCGGGAGTTCTCTGTAAGAGTCCCCTTTTCTCTGATGGCCATTTTTAGTGTAATTTTGAGCCGTTAGAAGCTCTTAGAGGCCTATCAGTAGTTAACTGATATGTACCTTGTAGAGAATGAAGAGTTTTAATAATTCAAGACAAGAGTTGTCTATTATATCTGGGAAGAAGTTTTAATTATTCCCAGAATATACTGAAGTGCCTGGTGCTTATATTCAGCTATGCACGTGGAACGTTTTCTTCAGCTGGTCTTCAGTTTTGGACTTGTGTCCTGTTTTGAATTTTGTCATGTTGGAAATTGCAGCTTTTTGCTACTGCAGAAGTTGTTTCCTGGAATACTATTATTAAAGAAAATGCTATGTATTTATAAAAGGTGTTCTCAAAAATTATGTATTTTGACTTTTGTGTCTTCACAGAATCATTCTCATGACCACTTACTAGACACTAGTGACTCAAGAAAACAACAAGCTAATCAGCACAACTACCGTACAAGATATGCAGTAGAAGAAACTGCAAGGCCTGCTGAAGAGTTAGAAAATGGACACAGTTCCTCAGACGTAAGATCTTTATTCATGAGGCAATCTTCTATATTCCATTTCTACTCATTAAGCTCTTGCTTCAGCTAATAAAACATTGTTTCTAGTGGAAATTCAGGTTATGTTTTTCATTGTGCTTTTTTTCCCCACTGCTTTTAAAAATTGATACTGAATTAGGTTTTCACATGGTATTGTATTAGTTTAGTTTTGACTAAACAGCAACTGACAAGAGGGAGAAATGCTCATTTGTAATGGCATGTTGTAAAATATGTGTGTACAATGTTAAATCATCCCTATATTTGAGTCTAATCAGTATGGCCCATTTGGCCTATCGATATGGTCACTGGCTCCAGGTGGCCCTGCTTGAACAAGGAGATTGGACAGTATGACCTCCAGAGGTCCCTTCTAGCCTCAACCATTCTGTGCTTCTGCAGCTGCAGTGGAGAAAAGAGTAATGAGTTTATAAGGTTCGTACTAGGGCTTTTTTTTATATTAATTGTAAAGATGTAGAAATACTACATTGAAAAGGGCTGGAAGTAACTTTCCAAAAGGTAAGCTAACCTTTTTAAATGGAGATTGAGAAGCACTCATGTCTCCACTGACTGTATGTTAAAAAAAAAACGTTGCTCTACACTGTGCATCTGTCCAAGCATAGATATGTTCTTAGTTCACTTAATTAAGCCCGTTAAAAAGTAAACTAATTGTCTGCAAACTAAAATGCCTTTTTAACAACACAGAGCTTTTATAATGCTGTAAGTTTATAACACATATAAATCCTAGAAGAATATTAGTCGTATTGTCATGGATTATAATTTTTTTGAGTTACAAAGAAAATGCTTTCTTTTTCCCTCCTGCCTTTTTAGGAAGGAGAAGTAGTTGTTGCCAGTGGTGGAACATCAGAAGATGACGAAAGAGCATGGCACAGTGATGGCAGTTCTAGGTAAGTGACAGTATGCCTTACAGAGAAAAGTCCTGCTGATAAATTTTAAATAATCCTTTTTGTAAGCAGCTAATTAGTAATAACTAAAACTAAAAGAAAAGACAAAAAATAACATAGTGGGCTATATTACTAACTAAAATTTAGGGAAGGTTTCATCCTTGTTTTCCAGAAGAATTGTTTCTGACTGGTTTTGCAGGAGACTTATTCTTTGGAGGCACACACATACTTCAGGCATGTGGTAGCAGTTCCCTATGATTGTCAGTCTGAGCTTTGTGACTGCCTCTGCTAACCCTTGGTTTGCCATTAGAGCGCAAAGATTAAGGTGGCTTCAACTCATCCTTTGTTTCTTCTTTAGCAGATTTTTTTGGTTAAATTTTTGTTCGAAGCTATTCAAAACCAGAAGTCCTGAGAAAAATATCCAGACTTTTAACATGTGTCATCTTGAATTGAGCAAGTGAACAGTGGATTCACTTCTAGTGATGCTAGGAGTTAAGCTTATTATAAGATTGAATGATCTCAAGGCTTTTGGTTTGCTACATTTAAATTGTAGATAGAATATAGGGGCTTAGGCACTGGTTTTAACTATTAAAATACTGTTATTATCTAGACTGTTAACTATAATCTTGTATTGGGTTGCATTCTGTAATCCAATGTACTCTGAATTATTTTTTAACTTTTTTTTTAATGTCTTTTTTTTCTTTGGCATATCATATGTAGTGACTATTCTAGTGATTATTCTGACTGGACAGCAGATGCAGGAATCAATTTGCAACCGCCAAAGAAAATTCCTAAAATTAAAACAAAGAAAGCAGGAAGTAGTTCAGAGGATGAAGAAGGACCTGAAAAACAAAAGAAGCAAATTAAAAAGGAAAGGAAAAAAGGGATTGAGGAGAAAGATGGACCATCAACATCACCAAAGAAGAGGAAACCCAAAGAGAGAAAACAAAAGGTTAGATGTTCTTTGTATATTACAGGTTGCTCGCTCCTACAGTCTTAGAAAGAATTTAATGAGTGGTTCAATTATGTGTACATATTAATATTGTCTACTTTGAAAACATATCATGACTTTTACTAGTAATAAATGAGAACTACTGACTCTAGTAAGTCAAATGATACAGATTGCTGTGTTTATACACTTTATAAATATGGTTCATTTCACTTAAGGAATACTTCTAATGTCCTTAACACCATCTTTTCTCAGACCAGAAACTTCCTTTCTGTGGATGTTTTGAGTATTGGTATAACATATGTGCCTGTATTTTTCCAGCTGTACTGACTGTCTCCCTGCTTCATTGCAGTTTCTTTTAGGTCTGCACAATTACATTGGTTTTTTCTGTCAATTCCATGATGTATGATGTTTGCATTATGCTTGCCACTACACTGCCATCAAGGGGAATTTCACTTGATCAGGGTTTTGTTGTGGTCTGTGTTTTGTTTGCTTTCTAATATAACCATTACATTCCATTTTAGATCAGTACATGGAAATTTTCAGTGACTTTTGTTATTTTCCAGTGTGTTCTGGTTTTCGGGGGCGGGACGTGTTTCTTTTTAATTAAATGTTAGATCAGAAAACTCAGGTTCTTCATTCCTCATTTACAGAGACTAGAAGTGATCTGTCTGGTAGATGCTAACTGGTTTCATAAGCTTATAGCTTCTTTTCTTGCATTACCCAAGGAAACTGTGTCACCTAAATAAAGAATAACTGTATTTCCTTTATTTATAAGATTAGGAGTCCTCAGCATTCCTTAAGACGATTATTTCAGTATTTTGGCCCTCATTAGAAGGTAGACTGACAAAACAGCTGCTTTAATATGCAGGTTGGCATAGTATCAGCTTTACTGTGACTCTTTGGCAAGACATGCAGGATGTTAGGTGGTAGTCTTTATTCTTCGATTAGGCTACTTTTTGTTTATTGTACACAGTTGTTGTTTGTAGTGTCAATATTATCTTGGTATTTACGCAGTCTGAAACCAGAAGGAAGGTATGAGATCAGGAAAATAAATGGGTGGGGGTGTTTAATGGTTGAAAGCTGTAGTTTAGCTTTTTATTATAAAATACAAGACTGCCTGACAGCCTAGTATTTCCACTTAGATTAAAGCTGAACTGGTTGTTTTGGGAATCTTGCATCCATTTTTGGTTGCAGTTATTGAGATGCAGGAGGTCTTTGATTACAAACATGTCAGGCTTAGGTATTTCAGATTTTTAAAGATGACCTGCTCTGTTCTTGAATCACAAGAAAATATTAGGCTGGAAGAAATATCGGAAAATCTTCCCTCTGCCCCCAGGTAGGATTAAATTATACCTGTCATTCCTGAAAGATGTTTGTCTTTGAAGCTTCTTGTGGTGGAGATTCTACCTCCTTATTGGGCAGAGAGTTCACAGTCCTCACTGGTAGAAAGTTCTTCCTGTTTCCTGAATCTGAATCAAAATTGGGGCTTTCTGTTGAGGAAAGAAGTTATGACCACCTTTGTAACTAGGCACAGAATCTTAGGACGTAAGAAAGGAGTAGAGAAAGAATGTCATTCTTCTCTATTAATGCATGGGCTGTTGAGATCTTGAATGGTGGGTACATTCCCCCTCCACTAAAATCAATCTAAAAAATAATACAGCACCAAAGAAGGGCACTAAAGGAGCACCCAGGAAGATCAAAGGGTACAGAATAATTGGGGGGGAGGAGGCAGGCACAAAGAGGCTCACTCTGAGGAGGGAGAGAGTTTGGAGGAGATACAATAAAAAAGCTTTTCTAAAACGATGAATAGTTTAGAAATTAATAAATGCAGAATTCCTTCCTTACTTTGTTATGGTGAGATGTAACACCCAATGACACAGACATGAAGCTCAAAAAGGAGCCCTTTCCTCATTCAACCCCCACCGAAATCAAACAAAAACCTCAAACCACCTGAGCACATAATCAGGTTGTGGAACTAATTGCTATAGGATTTAGTAGAGTTTCAGAAATGATTAGACAAATTCACTGGGACTAGTATCTTCCTGATTGTTAGCTGTGGTGGCCTGAATTGAGGCTTGGCTTCTAGAGGGTCTTAAACTGATATTAATGTGTGAAGTTACAGCAAGGGAAGATTTTTTTTTTGTTTGTTTGTTTGTTTAAAGGCTATTTCTTATTACCTTCCCATAGTTAACCAATGAGCTAGACAGACTTTGCTCTGACACCGTGCATCAGTTTTTCACAAGGCAGACCTGCTTGAAATCCACAAGGTGCTTCTATGTCAGTGATTTATTGCAATGGAGAGGTTCTGTTATGATTTTTTTGTTTGTTTTCAATTGTGTGTATGGCTCTTCCTGTGGTGCACGCTGGTGCTCCAGTGGTGCACTCAAAGCAGTTCCCATCCTGGTGGAACCACATTTGAATTTGTGCAATGGAGCTATGCTTGGAGTATCCCATCTGCAGTCCGGGAATGCATGGTCTTCCATCAGTGGCTATATGGAGTGGATTTCTGTACAACTGTCCAAAGTTGCTTTCGATACGTGCACAGGATGCTGTTAGTAATTTCAAAGCAACCTTGCTTAGAAGGTTGTACAAAAACCTGCTTTATCTGGCTGATTAGGTATAGACGTGCAGTGTGCACCTAGGACCAGCAACTACATTAAACTTCATTACTTATAAATAAATGATGTGGACATACAATCTGAAAAGGCAGTTACACAGCCCATTGTAGTAAATACTCCAGTAGGTAACATGGATGTGCCCAGTCCGGGTCATTTCCACATGCTTCACCTCTGTTTTTGCTTGTTAGTCTCTTCCTTCTCATTTTGCGGGGTTCCTTAGTTGGAGGCAGCTGTATAGTTGTAGTGGCTTATTTGGGCCAAGGCAATGGTGTGAATTTGGTTAAAGAGAATGGCATATTTCAGTTTTATCTTTTTGGGCATGTAACATAGTTACTGGAGTGTTAATAAATTCAGTCTTTTTTTGAAGAGTCCCACCACCACTACCCCAAAACCAACAAACTAAAAGGAAAAAAAACAACAACACCAAAACAATCTAAAAAACCTACTTAGTCTTTCAGATTATTAACGGTTTTGGTCTTGGTGTTACTGTAAGCAGTTAGGTAAGATTTATCTTTACGCTGGCAATAATTTCCTTTTTACATAAAATCTACTTAAGAAATGGCAGTTGATTTTAATAAATAACTTCCCAAAATGCAAGGCTTCCCCAAATGTTAGTTTATTCATATTAATCTTCTGTGTGCATTTTTTTGCAGAGGCTGGCTGTAGGAGTTCTGACAGAAAATGGTTTGACACTGGAAGAATGGCTGCCTTCAGCATGGATTACAGACACTGTTCCTCGTCGGTGCCCATTTGTGCCACAGATGGGGGATGAGGTACTGCATTTTTTTTCCTCCGTGTTCTTGCTTCTTTCAGCTTGTCTTTGCTTATTTTATTTTCATTGGTGCATTTTTTCCAGATATTTAATACCATTTATTATCAGAATATTTTGGATTTTCTTCAAAACATTGTTTGATCTGGCTAAAATTTGCTTTTGCATCCTTCAGTCTTTCCCATACTTAAAAATATTCTGCAGTGTTGCTTTGACTTTTTTTTTTTATTCCATGCTGTTGCAGTAACATTCCTTCTTGTATTATGTTCAGTGTCTTACATGACACGTGTATACAGGCTGTGTGAGATGCTTTATCTAGTGAAACTAGTCCTTAGTTGTAGAGCATCTTGTACACTGAAGAATGGGTAAGAATTTTTTTTTTTTTTTTTTGAAAACTTCAGTTTGAGCCTTGAAGTAAAAAACAGGAATCAAACCTTTGGGGGGAGGGTGGATATTTTGTGTTGTTTCTTTTTAAAATCTATTTATTCTGAAGAAAATCTCTGATACTATCTTTTTAATTTGTGTTTCTGATTATCAGAAAACTTCTGCTGGTCTCTTACAACAGAAAACCACAGGAGAAGTTTTGTATATATGTATTTTATACAAACTAGACTGTAAACACTTTGTAAGCATGGCCCAGATGTCTCAAAATACAGTAGCAAAAGGACACCCACCAATTTTCTACTTTGAAATATATCGCATGTGAACATTATACAGTAAATTGTATGAATAAGTAGTGTCTGGTAGGAGGCAGTCTTGAAAACCAGAATCTGCATGTTTCCTAAAATCCCCTCAGGTTAAAATAAGAGGAAATAGCTGGCTAATGCTGTAATGTGTAGTCTGTTGGCTCTTCAGGCCAACAGCAGAGCGTTTCTGAGGTACTAAACAGAGTTCTTGTACAGTTCCTACCTTCAGAATGCAGTTGGAGAAATAATGGACATGGTGGCAAAGTTGATTAGCTTTGGTCTTGAGCTAAAGCAGTTTGTAGGTACCGCCTTAGCAACTAAATTGGGAGCAGAGGTTGTGTGTGCAAGCAGTTTTGTTCTTACTGGATCACTTCACTTACACAGTTCACAGCACAGCTATGCAAAAATTACGTCGGTATTGTGAGTGAGTGAGGGAAGGAGCATTTGAAGTCAAGAGTTGCAACTGGAGAAAATGCTTATGTATTATTACCCTCCAGCAAGCATGTTTTGGAGACTGTGCTATTCAAAAGATCAAGTCCAAATAAATATATTTGGTGCCCAATACCATCTGGATACAGTGAAGCAGCCAAGGATTTATCTGTACCGTATTACCCAGGAGACTTTTAACATTGGATCGGTTCAGTGAGATAAACTGGTGTGTTTGGTTTGGCACCTGCTGAATAGTTTGTGCATTATGTACTAGGAATATCTAAGTAGGCTGAATTCTTTTGCTGAAAAATGGTTTATGTTAGTGAACAGGAAATTTCCTGTCATGTGCCGAGAAAGTAGGAGTAGCTGCACCAATAGAGTACGTTTGCAGTCAAGCTGCTCTGACTAAAATTCCGTCTCCCATAATTACCCTCCCCAGATTTGCTTATGATGTGAGAAGAAGCTATTCATCTAGAAAGTTACTTTTGAGATTCACAGAAATAAAAGATCAGTTTAATTAGAGAAATGTGATGAGAAGAGGTCTCATGTGGCCTTCGAACATTTTGGTGGATGGTGGGTATGTTTTACAAGATTTGGGAGGAGAGATATTTCAAATTTGTTCTCTTACAGCTGTACAAACAAGTAAGAAAAAACAGTAGTGCTATATTTAGTTATACTCAGTGCATAAGAATAGCATGTACCATCCCTTTTCCCTTTCTGAATACTGCCATATACAGATCTTTGTCATGTGTCTTGAGGAACAGTGGAAACACAGAGGGATGGGTCTGCAGTTTCCTTGTCTGATTGTTGAAATACAGTGTGTATTCGTTGGAGTATTCTGCCATTAACACGATAAAGAACAGTTTTGCCTGGGTACTAAAACAAACATGCAGAAGTAGGAATTTATCAAGATTAAAAATACAATTTCCTGGAAAATAGGCATAAATTCTTTTTTCCACCGATATCTTTCTTATTTGTTCTTCTGCCAGAAGATGCAATGCTTAGAGCCACTTACAAAATAAAAATGTTTCACTTCTGTGAACAGGGGCTTGACTTTTGGTAGAGGTTTAGCAGAAACAGTAAGTGTAGGAGGAATTGTTTGTAGCCAGAACCACTAAGTGGATTTTTTTGTTTTGATTCACTGGAAGGTACAGGGAACCATTGTCACAATGTTGAAAGTGTAATTTGAATTGGTGTTATTTTAGACCTGTCTCTGTGGCCTCTGTTCCTTTTTCCGCCAGTTAGATTCGGACAGTGCATGGGAGATTCTTGGTGCTTTCCTGCCTTCTGTAACTACTGTGCATCTCTTCCCAGTGGGGATATTGTGCATGTCAAATATTCTGAAAAACAAGATTTTAGAAAAATTGTGATGCAGAGTCCTCCTCCAGTTTAAAACAAAAAAAATTGCCATATGATGTAAGACAGTTCAGTTAATGTAGAAGTTTGACAGACACTTGTTTATAATGTCTGTTGTACAACAGTTTTGCAAAGAATGTGGAAATACAAATGTTAGTGTGTTTATTTGTATAGCTGTATTTTAAAACTTACTGAGGGCTTTTCACTCTGCTTTTTTTTTTCTTAGACATTTAGGCTATTGTTCCCTCGTCCTACTTGATGAGTATCTCATGTTTGTGGCTTGGGGCACTTTTAGAGGATTTTTTTTTTTTTTTTTTTATTTGGAATGCATCGTATCTGGAATACAGCTGTTTATCAGATACTTGTTCTAATTAATTTGAGGAACCTCTGTTTCAAATTTAGCTACATTCCTTGAATATATGTTTAACATTTTCAGCTTACTACTTCATTACAGTGATGGTTTATAACAAAAACATTCATCCACATTGGTGTCATGTACAACAGGATCAAAGTAAAACTAATAAGACTCTGGATGGCTGAACCATGGAAAGTTATAGTGGAAGGATTTGAAAAATTCTAATAAGCACTTGAAACGTCTATTTTCAGTTTACTCATGTCTTTGTTAGGCTGTTTGTTCAGTGGTATGGAAGCAAACACCAAAATCTTAGCAGAACAATAACAAGCAGCTGAATTTTCTTTCTAGAATACGTTTCTTGTTGAGAAAAAGATATGATTAGCCAGATAGTGAATTCAGTGATACTTGACTGTCATTTTAGGGATTTCCTACAGTGATGAACAACCAAGTGGATTAGTGGAATTCATGTTGCTGCGATTGAATTGTTCTGTAGTGCGATGATAATTGGATGGTTTTGTTACTGATTTTGTTTTAGTCTGGTGTGTGTAATTTAGGATATTTTGCTCATAGGTAAAATGATGTTTTAAATCTTTCCTGCTTTTTCTGTAAATGTTTCTATGATACCTGCTTTAATTGTCCACCACTTAATTTTTCGAGACCTGTGACTTTTGCAGGAAAACAAAGTGGAAAAAAGTTGATGATAAAATAGAAAGTACGGCAGTGATATGCTAGCATTTCAATTCTTCAAAGTCTCTGTTAGATAACTATCACACTTCACTTCTAGGTCTACTATTTCCGACAAGGTCATGAAGCATATGTTGTAATGGCTAAGAAGAACAAAATATATAGTATTAATCCCAAGAAACAACCATGGCATAAAATGGAATTACGGGTATGAGTTCTTTTTCATTTTGTTTGGTATCATAATAATAACAAAGGGTTGGAAACTACTGAAAGAAGATTGTTGGTACAGATGTTTCTAAGGTTGTGGTCTTTAATATTTTAAGATAAGGGGAAAAAGTTAACTTAAATAGTCAAATCAAATGAGACCTGAAGCTGCACTACTTTATGCATCTGCTTGAGCAGATGAGGTGGTTACGCTTCATAGCAAAATATTTTTCAAGCAAGTTACATTGTGAAATAATAGCTTGTTTTGAAAGACTAAATTTCAGATACTTGATTTTCAACATGTTCTGGCAGAAATCTGGTCTTTTCTGTATACACATATTTTCATGTTTCAGAAAGTTATTATGGTCATCTTAACTTCAGTGGTGGTACATAACATTTTCTTTATTCCAGGAGCAAGAGCTGATGAAAATAGTTGGGATTAAGTATGAAGTGGGATTGCCTACTCTCTGCTGTCTTAAACTAGCTTTTCTTGACCCTGATACGGGTAAACTAACTGGAGGATCATTCACCATGAAGTAAGGAAAACAAGCTTATATTCGAATTAGGGGCTTCCTTGTGGGCAGGTAGGGGGATGAGGTTGAAAGTTAAGAGATGCCATTACTGTTGTGCCTTCAGCTTTTGCTTTTGAAGTGTTGAATTCAAAGTGTTAATTTTTTATGTAAGTGCTTTACTTTATGCTTTTGCTGTTTTATCGCTTAATAGTTGTGTGTTCTGTTGTAATTAGGTACCATGATATGCCAGATGTCATAGATTTCCTAGTTTTGAGGCAGCAGTTTGATGATGCAAAACACAGGCGATGGAATATAGGTGAGTTGTGTGGGGAGTTTTTTGGAGTGGTTGGTTGTTTTTTTTGTTTTTCTAAGTGTCTACCAATTTTCATGACAACTTATTAAAAAATAGGTTTTGGTAAATAAATCCTAACACTGTGCTGAAATCGGAGAGTAAGCTCTGTCCATATTTGGGTGTGGAGTCCTACTTTGTCCTTGACTGAAGCTACAGCAAGCAAACAAAATACTGAAAGTGATCTGTAAAAGAAAGTGCAAAGGAAATCTCAGTTGTGTGTTTGCAGAGAGGAATTAAGAATACTTTTTAGAAATTGGTGCTTATTGGTAACTGGTAACTTACTGTAGCCTATGTATTGCTCATGTCCCTCTTCTTTTGGATTGAAGGCTCTCTTGCAACTGCATTGAAACTAGTTGGGGGTGGGTTTTTTAATTATTTTTTTTTTTCAATTTTTGAAAATATCTTCTCTACTGTCTGAAATTTGTGATCTCTAGATTGTACAAAGGGTATGCCCTTCCCATCTTTTTATACCTGTTTGAATTCTGTTCTAAACCCAATATGGTTTAGCTTCACTGAAGTGTATATAATAATATTTCTGTGCCATATGATGTGGGGATGTTTTTGATTTGTTTTACTTTGCACAGGCTTAGTTATTTCAAAGGGCTGGATGCTGGTGAAGGTCCATGTGACAGGCATGTCCTCCAGTCAGATCTATTTCCTAGTCATGTTTTCAATATGATAACAAAGATCCCCTTTCAGCAATGAAATCTAACTAGGGGATGAAGAAGGAAAGAGACCGGCGTGGTTGAGACAAGAGATGCTGGTCAAACTAAGGAGGAAGAGGGAACTGCACAGGCAGTGGAAGCAGGGGCAGGCATCCTGGGAAGAGTTACAGGGATGCAGTCCGGTTGTGTAGGAATGGGGTCAGGAAGGCCAAGGCGCGGCTGAAGCTAAACTTGGCTAGGGATGCAAAGAATAATAAGAAGGGTTTCTACAGGTATATCAGCCAGAAAAGGATGGTTAAAGGAAGCATACTCCCGCTGATCAGTGAGACCGGCAAACTCGTAACAGCAGATGAGGAGAAGGCTGAGGTACTCAACACTTTTTTGCCTCAGTCTTCACTGGTAACCTCTCTCCTCACCCCTCCTGAGTCGATGGACAGCATGAGGGGGACCAGGACAGTAAAACCCCTCCCGCCCTGAATGCACATAAGTCCATGGGACCTGATGAGATGCATCCCAGAGTCCTTAGGGAATTGGCCGATGTAGTCGCCAAGCCCCTCTCCATGCTATTTGAAAAGTCATGGCAGTCAGGTGAAGTCCCTGGGGACTGGAAAAAGGGAAACATTGTGCCCATTTTCAAAAAGGGTAGAAAGGAAGACCCTGGGAACTACCGACCTGTCAGCCTCACCTCTGTACCCAGGAAGACCATGGAACAGATCCTCCTAGAAGCTATGCTAAGGCACATGAAGGCCAGGGAGGTAATTCGAGATAGCCAGCATGGCTTCACCAAGGGCAAGTCCTGCCTGACGAACCTAGTGGCTTTCTGTGATGGTGTGACAGCATCAGTGGACAAGGGAAAACCAACAGACGTCATCTATCTGGACTTCTGCAAAGCCTTTGACACGGTCCCCCACAACATCCTTCTCTCTAAATTGGAGAGCTATG